ACTGCACACATCAAGAGATGAGTCAGTCATCAGTAGCATGAGAAAAACCTGAACAAAAGCCAAAAGCAAGACATGAAGATACAATTTGACACCCTTGTCACAGTTCTAGATCTGCTAATATGACAGATCACAAACACTTCCACCTCCCTTTTATATTAGGATTCAGAAAGAACATACACATCATCACAAAATGCATTTAGCTGCCACATAATATACTTGCATCGAAATGAGATTTGCACTTTGAAAAAATAATTAAAAAAACCCAAACAACAGCATCAGAATATTCCCTCTCATATTTCTGCAGAAAACTTCTTCTTTAAAGTGTGACAAGTAAAGGGCACAGAGGATGGATCTAGAAAAGCGTTTTTCTCATCACGATATTCTGTACAGTTTTCTGTATTTACACTGAAGCAAATGAGCAGAAGCCTGAAAAAATTAAACACTTTGGAGTGCTAAAATCAAAACATAAGCAATACAATTTTTTAATTTCAGTATTTTAAAGTACAGAAAGTCGAAACTATGAATATCAAATACAAATTTAAACAAAGCCACTTGTCCTCCCCTAGAATAATCAATGTGAACTACTTATAGAAACTTACAAATTTAAAGTAAAATCGAAACAAAATAAATACTGTACATACACTTTCCCTGCCTGCAGGCAAAAGAGGATGGGAAATACTGTTACGAATTGAAAAAAATGCTCTTAAAGCTGCAGCATCCCACTTCCCAGCCAAATACTTAACACAGTAGTGCGTTTCTGTAAAAAGGAAGACACACATACACCGACCCCTAGTGAGAAGACAAGCAATATTTTCAAAGACATTAGAAGGAAAGATAGAAATTAGGCTATGAGAGTAGAAAAAGGAGAGGAAAAGACAAACAGGCCAGCAAAACCTTACTACAAAACTAGTAATATAGCCAAGAACTAGCCCCTTTTTTTTCTTTTTTCAAATTCCATGGTTCTTTAAAAAAAAAAAAAAAATAAAAAAAATATTCACCAAAGCATTGGCAGCAATAGACATTTCCCAGCAGAAGTGACAATACATATCAATATAATCTCTTAAAGTGATCCCTTTCATTCCCTTCCCACAGCATGAAACTCTTATGGCTTAATTTATATTAAAGTAGAAAAAGTCTTTTTTTCCAAACAGAAATGCAGCCTATGAAAAACATGCATTTCCTTATCAGTGCTACTTATATTTCCCATCCACTGCATGATTTCTCACTCATACGCTCCCACAAAGAAGGTTAGTAGGGTGTTTTTTGTTGGGGTATATTTTTTTCTTTTTGGAAAAACGGATGTTGCAGCTTTTAATCTTGTTTAACCACAAACAGTAAGGCCCTTGGTTCCATTTACATTTCTTCTGTAAAAGAATAGCTCTGGGCTCACTCAGCCTCAGAGCTACAAACAGCTTTGAATGGTCTGGAAGTATTACGTGAATGAAAATCTGGAAAGACACTAGATTTGGGGGTCATGGTTGTGGTGTGAAGGGATAGATGGGCATGTGGAGCCTAAATAGGGCACTAGTTATAGGCTTGTAGTACCAGGTTGTTCTAGTTTCAGTTTTGCTTAGTCTCCACAATTACTAAAGCAAGATTCACATCAGCTCCAACTCTGAAACTCTGCAAAAATCTTCAACGTTTACAAGTTAATGGCCTTGTGAACGAAGGTAGCTTATGCCATATAGCAAAGCCTAGGGAAAGCTGAAGCTTCTAAAATGTGATCATGACACTGTGCTCTTACATGTCTACTAAAGGTAACACAAGCACTTCAACTACCAAAATAAGAAAGGCCCCAAATCTCCCATGTGATCAGAAAGCAACAATTAAAACTCTCAACATCTAACCCTTTCAAAATCGTCTTTAAGAATGGATTCATGTGGAGTACTATAGGTTGCATAGGTAATCTACCTCAGAGGTCAACAAAGGCTACCTTGTAGCCAGGGTTTATTAGCAAGTATAGTAGGAGAAGAAAAGGGAAAGTTGCTGGAAGAGTCTTTGATACAGTTTTTTCTAGGTGGTCTTTCCATTTTCCTGATTCTGTTTTGTTTCTTTTCTGCAATTGCAGGAACTTGAGAACCTAAGAGAATGGGAAAACCTCTATGATATTTCTTGTCCTACTGTTCTGTCTACAAAATAAAAAAAAATTAAGTTTTATGCCAAATCCAAGTTCTCTAACTTTTCAAAAAAGATTATCCTTGAAAACGAGTTACCATAGCAGGCTTAATTCTCTTTGTTGTCCAGTCAGTGTCCCTACTCCCTCCCTCTTCCACCCCAAGTGAGACAGCAAGGAAAAAAAAAAAATAGGGCTTTTTCTCTCCACTACGACAACACAAGGTTCAGTCTATCTACAGAAAGATTGGTGCAGTAGTGTTTTCATCTAGAACACAATAAAAATATCCCTACATACAAGTACACAAAACAAGTGAGGTCACCACATCCTCTTCATGAGCTACCAGGAGACTTCCCCCTGTCTCCTCCCCCCATTTTTTTCCTTTCTTTTTTTTCTTCAACTTTCTCCCCCCCCCCCCCCTTTTTTTTTTTAATACTGCTCATCGTGGCAATTTCTTTTAAATTACTTGTTCTGAGGTGGAACATCAGAATTAACTTCTACTGGAAGCATGGATATCTGAAGAAATGGGAATGAACCTCTGCCCGTTGACAGCCTGTGAAGAGACTATTACATAAACTGATGACAGTGGAGAGCCACTTTGGCAAAAAAAACCAAAAAAAAAAAAAAACCAAAAAAAAACCCCCAAAAAACATGGAAAGTAAAGAAAGAATAAAACCAAGAAGAAATAATATATATGGGTCCAGCCACATCTGTGTTCCAATAAGTAAGATACAGATAAATAACGCGGATGGTTAGAGAAGAGACTTTGTATAAGCCAGTCACACATACAAGAAAGCATACTCCATATTTTAAAATTCCTTGCTCCAGATTCTATTCTGGTATACTTCTATTTCAGTTAAGCGTTCTCAAAAATCTGCCTTGAAAGAGAGAAAGCTCATTCTTCATTCTGCTCCGAATCTGATTGCTGCCTTCAACTGGAATTTTCTATTCTGAAAAACTACACAGCCAGCAAGAATGAAACAGTTTGGTTCAATATGCTAAAGCTAAAACAGTTTCCAAAGCCTGGCAGGCATTAATCCATTTCCTCCAGCTTAAGCACAGAGGGTATATACACAGTTTATTTCTTTGACTTGCTTTGGTGAGAACATATTAGCAGATAGTTAAAATATTCTCTTTTATCTATTTCCATCTGGAAAACAGCACCTGAGAACAGCAAGTACTTAACAGTCACTTTCAGCCCCTGTAGAGTACCTCTTAGCTTATCTTCTGCTTTTTAGAAATCCTTTGCTACCTCTGTTCCCCACAGGCTAAACAAGGCTGACAATAAAACAAAACAAAAACAAAAACAACCAAAAAAACCCAATCAAAACCAAACCTAAAAACATGCTTTTGTGAAACGATAATTTGCAAACAAAACAAGGTTAAAATTCACCCATACATACACCTACAAAACTACAAAGTCAAAGCATGTTCCAGAGGAAGTAAAGCCATGAAAGCTACCTGACTTATTTGCAGTTGCATTATGTTTTGATGTCTCTCAATTTAGAAACATAGTGCAGTGACCCTGCAACAATCAAAACCACCTGACACTAAAACTATTTCCACATATTTGTAAAAGCATTCATAATCTATCTTAGATTAAAAACTGCATAAATATTCAGGAAAGTCCAACTGAATTTGTTTTTAAACTACAAGAAGAGAAAACTATTCCAGCATAGAATATGGAGGAAGGAAAAGTTAATCAATTCAATTACTTTGATAGCTATGCCCAAGTATTTTTACTCTTAGCAAGGGAAAAAAAAAAACAAAAAACAAAAAAACAAAAAACAAACAAACAAACAAAAAAAAAAAAACCCAAACCCAACCAACGCAATTGTTGTTACTAGCATATTAATCTTTACATTTTGGCTGGACCCTGCAAAATGCCCTTTTTCCAGAATCAAGTAAAAGTATTCCCCCTTCCGCCTTCATCCCCATCCCCCGAAAGTTAAATATTTAATTTTATATTACAGAAAAATACAAATTTAAAATCAAAATTATTTACAATAATTCAGAATTGGCATTTGCTATCAGCTCGGTATGAAGCCTGACACAAATGATCATTCTGATACCAGTAAGCTACTTAATGCTTATATATTCACCAGTTAAGACTTTTAATTGGCTGCCTCACCCAGCTTTGAAAGCAACACACTTCCTGCCTTCCTGACTCTTCAGTAAAATGTGTTTAAAGTACAATATTTTAATGCTTCTTCCATGCTACATTAAGTAATATGCCAAATCTTAAGACTGCAATGTGTATCTTACGAGTTATTTCAGAGTAATTATTCTGAAGAAACATTTATCTTAACTGATGCCCCCATTCCTCCAAAAAGATGTATGAGGTTTTCCTCCTTTGTACCAACTCCTAAATAACCTGTACAAATACAATTTCAGGTAGCCTTTTTACAGAAGAAAATCATCACAGACAGATCATCGGAAGGAAAAGTATGCACTCAGATTTGGAGGAAAGGGGTGCAGTTTAACACAAGTTAGCTACTGGACTGACAGAAGAAGATTCTTCTGTCATTAGGAGTCTCTTGTAGTCTGTCAAATAAATAAATCTGTATTAAAGAGGACAGGTCAAAAAAAAAGTAATCAAGCTGGCAGAGAATATGCAACTTGCAAGTCAACAGAAGCCCAGCCAATAGCTTACAAAAAGCAGGAAAAAAAATAAGATTCCATATGCCTTAATTTAAAAATAATTAATAATGCATCTCACCCCTACGTAAGACTACAACCTGAATATCAAATTTAGGAGTCCAGACTAATCACAATTAATGTGGCTCTCCACTGCACCAAACATACATTATCAAAACAATTAAAAACTTTCACATTCTTAAATCTAAATTAATAACCCCCCAAAAAAGTCTTCCAAATAAATAGTTTCTTAAATGAATTTAAAAGTTGTCAAAATCTATCAGAAATAAATTATTGATAAACCACCTTCATCATCTTCCCCTCATTAATAGATCAGAAACTACCAGCAACAAATGATATTCAAGCCCTGATGAGAGACTTTCTCACAGTCCATGTCTCTCTGAAGATTTCCCCATTCCCGTATGGTTATTGCTGAGCAGGTGTGGCACAGTGAAAATGCAGCATTGGGTTGGTTGGTTTTTTTTTGTGTATTTTTTTTTCTTTCTCATTTTTGTTCATCAGGCAGTGTTTTATATGGTACATGCAAGTCTGCTTCAAGCAGAGGAATAACAGCAGCTCCAGGCTCTGTTGACCTCAATACTGGTCTGTGTAGGAAAGACAGCAGTAGTAGAAGTAGCAGCTACATTAAACAAAGAAGCGTGCATGGCCATTCCGGTTCAGCTTCAAGATCTTCCCAAGGCGCTGTTTAGCAGTCGCCATTCCTTTCTTTGGACGTTTGCCTGAAAAAGGAAATCAAGTACTTCAATCAGGAATTTTCAAACAAATTTTTATCACCTTAGAACAAAGATGAAACCCAGCTTTCAAGCTGAAACAGACCAAATTTTCAGGAGCAAACAAAGAGGGATTCAGAAATGTAAAAAACAGGAACTGTCTTCCTTAAACTTTACCTAGAATTATCATAATGTGATTACATTATTCATGAACATTTCCAGTCTAGGGAAGGGCAGTAGGTGTAGGAAAGAACCTAAACAAATCTTCCTGAATTTTGCTTAAGTTATTCCACTGAGTAGATTATTGTAATTGACCTAGAAACTAAAAACTAAATAATAAGATCATCAGACTATTTTTTTAAGTGTCAGAGCTTTTAAACCTTCACTTCGATAAACAAATCTGATTCAGGCCAGTGTTTCAAAGTAGATTTGTGATCCTGTTCCCTATGTAATAAAAGCATAATAGATACATCTGCAGAGGTGCAACAGCAGTTATGAAAGTTTCATCTGGCCATGCAGCCAGTTAGATCTCTCTTAATTCTGCCTCCACACATCCTGTACCGAGTTGAGTGTCCACAGGATGCCCATTTTGTATCTTTCCTCAAGGTCTAACCCTGTCTTTTTTCTGTTTCCAACAGCTCTTTTTGAGGTTTACAAGCTCCTTTTCCTAGTCTTTATGTTTGTTTGTTTTTCAGTCTGGCAACAGGACAGAGATAAAAATTACCTTTTGTCGCCTGGTTGCTGATAGGGGGTGGGTTTGATGCTGGCCTCTTTGTGGGATGAAGTGGTACAGACAAGGATGTTTCACCATACAGCCTGTCAGGGCTAAGGCTGCCATCACTCAGCCGACATTCTTGAATTAGACTGGAGTCTCGTGTATACTTGCCATGCTGAAAACTCAAGCTGTTGTTGTGGACTATACTTCTGTTTTCCTGAACCTTATAATTAGCTTCTGACGCACCCTCTTTCTTGATGTATTTTTGAGCTTTATTTGTATCCTAGTATGGAAATGAGGAGGGAAAAAAAAAAAGTGGAAGTTAATACCTTCTGGCTGCAAGTTTGCTCTTTTTTCTGATTATACCACCGTATCTTTGAAAAAGATATTTTAGTTCCACCAGTGTCTAACCATTTTATGATTCCATCATTTCTTCTACATATCCTTTAGATACATCTTAAAAATAAGATATGATATAGCATGTCTCTGTGCAAGCTTTTCCATATGCACTTATGAGCAATGCGATTAATTACGCATACTCATATACTCAATTTCTCTACTTTATGGTTTTAGTTTGCAGTCATCAAAGCAAATGCAATTGCTCTATTAAACTGGCCACTATAGCAAGCCATACTATAACCACCAACAATGTAAATAGGAAAGTTGTTTTCAATATTCAGCTGATGAGAGAGCAAAAGCTAAACTGGGAATTGCAAACTGTAAGGGTACCATGTAGCCTGATATTCTTACCAAAAACCACTACAAAGAACACAGTTAAAAATTATTCTTTAAGTAGCAGTGTTACTTTGCAACTTTAATTGTTCTATTTAGTTGTTCTAATACTTCTAATATAGACAAGTTTAGAAATACGAAAAAAGTTCAGGATAAGACACACAACCTTTCATTTATATATTTCTTGCTGGATTCCACCTGGACATCAGAAAGCAAAAATATTCCTACCTGCTGGCTGTTGAAAGGTTGTATCAGTTTGGCAGTACCAATTTCCTAAACAAGTATCTTTACTATAAATACTACCAAGGGGTTCCACTTGGTCTGATGCTCTGGTTGGAAACAACAGTGAATAAACAATGCAGTGCTTCCCCAGTTAGACCGAGGGTAAATTCACACTTTTTTTTAGTCAAAGAGTTAGGGGTCTTTTTTGTTTTGTTTTGGGTTTTGTTTCGTTTTTCTCCAAAATACTGCCCTGAGCATCTTAATATGAGCCATTATGGCAGGACAGAGTTTGAAGGAAGTGGGGGAGGGGGAGGGAAATAAATAAAATTAAAAAGGCATGACAAATACAATACTCAGTTACCAGACCAAGAGTATCTGTTTTCAGATACACAGTAAAGACTGGTCCACAATTTTTCTGTACTTAAAGCTTCAGAATTTCCTTTTCCTATAAAAATGTGTTCAAAATGTATTGCTTTACCTGAGGGGTAATCCTGGAAGCTTCATTCAGGTGTCTAGCCCATGCTGAAGTCCCCAAGTCTCCTTCCTCTTCCTTCACAGACCTACCTAAAAAGAAGTTTCAGCAAGCTTAGATTTTAAAAATCAGTAAATAGGAATGCACAATTAATTATGTATTTGAATGACTTTACAATTAAAATAAGAAAGAAATGGAAATATGATGGAAAATATTTCCTAGACACAAGTTGTCAGAGCTCCTACACACTAAACTAGGTAAATAACCTTGCAGAATAAATACACCTAATTAAAGATCCTTATAGCACAGTAAGAAGGTCAGATAAATATAATCATTCTAGTTTTGAAGTACTGATGTTGAACACAGCTTGCCCACTTCGTTACGCATGTTTTTCTGCCATGCCTTTGTATCATGAGGAGTTCATGCAACAATGGACATTTAGTTCTCAGGTATTATTGACAGTGTTGTTTCTGATGTGCTTGCTATTCACAGCTTGCCCACTTCGTTACGCATGTTTTTCTGCCATGACTTTGTATCATGAGGAGTTCATGCAACAATGGACATTTAGTTCTCAGGTATTATTGACAGTGTTGTTTCTGATGTGCTTGCTATTCAGGTACAATATAGGGAAGATCTTTGCTGACAGGCCTATAGAAGAAGTGTCCATATTCAAAACACATTTACCATACAGCTAACTTGCAAAATTAAGGGTATCCCAAGACACCAATTCAATCTGAATTTAGAGAGCCTGAAAGGATTTGCAAAACCTGCCAGCTAAGAAGCATGGTTTCATCTTTACACCCATGGAGTTTGACACATGTACTGGGCCTGGCTGGAAAGGGATTTTTTTCCTAACAGTCCATATGGTGCTGTATTTTAGATTTGTGGGTAAAACACTGTTGGTAACACACCAGAGTTTTGGCTGCTGTTGAACAGTGCCTGCAAATGTTCTTTTCCCACTCTGCCTTCTGCAGTAAGTAGCCTAAGGACAGGCAAGAGATTAGGAAGGCACATAACCAGGACAGCTGACCTGAACTGGCCAATGGAATATTCCATACAATGTAATGTCATGCCTGGCAATAAAAACTCGTGTAGAGGAAAAGGCTTGGGGGAAAGGCAATCTCTCAAGGTAGTCACTGCTCAGAGACTGGCTAGGCACCAATCTGCTTGCAGGAGGTGGTAAGTGTTGCCTTTGTAACACTTGTTTCTTTTCCTCTTTCCTTCACTTACTAAACTGTCTTTATGTCCACCCATGGATCCTCTCACTTTTGCTCTTTCTGTTCTCTCCCTCACTGGGTGGTAGTGGGAGAACAAATGGCTGTGTGGGTGCTTAGCTGCTGGCCTGAGTCAACCCACCACAATTTAGAAACCTGGTATTACGTTTTTCATAAAATTACAAAGATGAAAGAACACTGTATGTGTTTGTGTGGTTTGCTTGTTAGTGTTGGTAGTTGTATTTATTTATTTGATTGGTGGGTTTTAAGAACATGCAGCTTCAATTACCAGAACACAGTCCACGACATCACATTGGGCTTTTGTTACCCATGTAAACAAAACCCCATATAATATTAATTCTTTGAATTAGCACCCTATTTTTTGGTGGGATTCTGTTTCTTTTACATCAGCAAAGCTATAATCCTCTTCCAATTCTCCAGCAAAGGATTTTCAAACATGACTACTCTTTTTCTCTCTGTTCCAAGAAGTGATTTTGATTCTTTTGAGGGGATTAGCATTAATGTTCTGCTGTTTGTCATGCCCAAAATGCATTTAACAGATCTGTTTTCCACAGACATCAAAATGCCACTGACAAAAAAATTACTTCTGAATTCTCCTCTTCAAGATTAGAATCTCCTTTAATGCACTGCACTCATACCAGAATTTCAGGAGTAAAGCCAAATATGCCTTCCAAAAAGGCATGAAAATCACCAGCAAATTCCTATGGATATGTAAGTTACACACATGCCATGAAAGCTGCAATCATGAAGGCTGTGCCAATCTTTTCAGAAGGAATTACACTTTCAATAAAGAGAGTACACTTTCAATTTAGCCATAACTTTGCCACTCTTGTACAGATGCTACAATACTTTAAGATGGCAATATGTAGAAGATTTATTCTGATGACCTCTCAAGCTAAGTTAGTCCCAGTTCTCAGAAGTAACATCTACTTTCTATTAAAAAAAAAAAAAAACCCACAACAGAAAACTCCACAAAATAAAATAAACCCAAGTAAAAAGAAAATGCCATTTATATAAAAACTCCTCTACAGCTCTAAAAATGAAACTTTAAGTGCTTATTCTGATCCATCTATCCAAGAGCAGAGAGCAGCAGTGTCATTAGTTCAAATACCTACCACATTCTATTGTTCTGTGGCTCTGAGATGGCTGCCTGTCTTTATGCCGACTCCTGGGGTAGCTTCTGTGTTCCTGAAGAGAGGTTCTTTTATCTGTGCAGTCTGTGCTTTGAGTATGACCTGGTAAACATGTAGTATAGTGCAATCCTGCCATAGAAAGCATGCCCTGAATAGCTTCTTCTTCTGTACTTGTCGAGGTAGGACATTCCCTAGAAAAATGAAGGAGTATTAAGCAGTTCACATTTCTCTGAAGTAACGATTTTTATACTGGTATAAAGCAGGATCACAGATATGTGTGAAAAGGTCTACCTTTTTATAAAAAAATGCCCACAGTTTGCTTACTTTTTATTGGGAGTTTCATTTCTGGATGGCTTCTGGGTATTCTGACAGAGGTCTCTTGTGACCTTGGATTCCTCCTTGAAATTTGATGTTACTTCCTGCTTCTCTTCATCACCTGAGCTTTCCGACTCCTCTGTGGAGGAATCCTTCTGCTGAAACAAGAGGAAAGAGCATCCAGAATGGTCACCATGCATCCTAAACAGAAACACTATCTTAATTTATGCTAAGTAAAAAGTTCAAAAGCTTCCAGGTCCAACTTTTTTATACATACAGTATTCAGAATGCAGTTAACTTGCATATAGCAATTGAGGGACTGTACATCCCAATTTTGCAACACTGCTGAGTACATGCTCCAATAATATAGAAAACACCACACACATTAAACCATGCACAAATCATTGTATTCTCTTTAAAGAAAGCACTGATTATTGTTATCTTTGATATTCAGAGTAGAGAGAAACATATTGAATTATGGTTCCAAGAAGCAGCCAGAATTAATGCTTATTACATCTAGGTGGAACACATCCTGTCCCAACGTAACTGTTTCTGGTTCCTTCTCTCAAAAAAAAAAAAAACTTGCAGCAGCAGCATCTCTCTGATAAGTGACAGAAGCTCTCAGGTAAATACAGAACACAGCAGGAACAGACACACAACAGCTGTTGCCTCTCTTACAGTGGCACAGCCTCTTTTCATGAATGAAAGGGCCTCTCAGCTCCTGCTGAGATTACAGATTGTACGGGCAGGAGCTTCTCAAAAGTGGAATAACCATATGTGACTCAATATGCTTTTACATGAAGCAAGGGCTACGATAGATATGCTCTGTCTTGGTAATTCAGACTAATCTATTTTCAACAAGTACAGAGAATGGCACAGGTTTTTTTTCTCAAGCCAAGGAATATACATGACATTCAATCAAAGTGTTGAAAGAGGAAGATCAGAACGTGAAGGAATCGTAATTCTTCAAGAGTGACACCTCTATCACCAAAAATGGAACTGGAATGAATGAAGTGCTTCATATCACCAAGGGATGTTTTCATGTAATAGCTTCATTCACAGGAGCAGCCTGTTAACCTTTGACACTCAGAAAGTGGCACAAATGGACAATTAAATTATAACTATGACTCAATGTTAATAAAGCTATTATCTTGTTTTGTTAAGACCTTTTTTGGTGCAACATAAAAACACGAAAAGGATTTAAAGGAGCTTCTGAGACAGTTAATTTTGGATATATCATTAGAAAAGACAAATTTAAACATGCAGAAAAATTATTCCGTGAGATACTATTAGAAATTAAGCAGCAGAATAGTATAGGTGGAACCAAGAGAGTAAACGGCATTAATATAAAACGTTTAACTCAATGGGGAAGTCATCCAAAACTGGCTACATTCCCCTGTGAAGATTAAATGTATCAATTTTGAGTAGCTATTGATTCTGCCTCTTAAAAAAGGAAACCTGTCAAGCCAAAGTTGCTGACAGCGCAGTTTAGGAAACCAGAAGAAGCCACATCAGGAAAGTTCCTATCACTTATTCCAACATCTAGATAAGGTAATGACAGAAGACAACAGAGATTAAAAATAAATTTTGACCACTGTGGAAAAAGTAGGAATTTTAAGACTTCTTCTAAAGTCTTATAACAGGCAGATGATTGAATGAAAGACCAAAGAATTAGCTTTCCTGAAGAACAGAACAAAGTCTGAAGTAATCATTCCAACCTGTCGGCATTTTACTGCTGTTAAAATTGAAATTATTAATTCAGAGCACAATTTTGCAAAGGGAAAAAAAAAATCATTAAAATATTTGTACAGACATATATGACATTTCTAAATACTAGAAGTCATAATAAAATACATGGTGTAAATACATATACATGTACACATATGTGTATTTATACTGCATTTAGTTGTAAGGAAATCACTACAATTTAGACCCTCAAATGGAAGATTCCAATTTATTTCAAATAGTTTAAAACACCCCAATAGAATTTACCCACTTAAGCTTACTTAGGAAAACTGAAGGCCTGTAAAATTGTTTCCATTTAACCACGGTCTAAAATGAAACTGTGTGGTAGATACTCATAATTATAATGATGAAATTTAGACTTGATACAGAAGAAATGAACAGATCAACTAGGATCTTACTTTTCTCAGACTTTAGATGTTCCAGAGCAGGGCTCATCCTCTGCCAGCCTTACTTTAATGCTACAGATGATCATAAAATTTGGCTCAAGATAGCGCACCTTGTAATTTTTCTCAACATTAGAATAAATGGAGAATAAAGCAGAACCATAAATTTGAGATATTATCCTCAACCAGAATGAAATACTTTGCTGTTGCTCTTTTAAGATAAACTTTGATCAGATGAATTTGAAGTGAGTGAGCAAAATCATATTTTATTGCTTTGTTTATTTTTGTGACTTTTTCTAGCTATACCTGTGTAGTGCAATCAGGCTCAGATTCTTCTGAATCAGAAATATCAGAGTACTCTGAGGATCCATTCCTGAGTTCTGATTTCACGCTTTCAAAGAACACTGTGGGAAGAAAAATTAAAATGTAAGACCCAACGTTTATTACATGTAATATTTAACTATTGTTTTGGGAGTAAAGAACTAGAAACATATATGTAAACAGTCTGTAAACAAAAGGACTTCCACGCACCAATTTGGTTCACAAGTCAAGTTTGCTTGAAAAATCTAGTGAGTTCCCTGCTGTTGTCCAAAAAACTCCACAAGTGACTGACTGGATGAAGCCAGAGGAAGAGAAGTCAGGTGCACTAGGAGCACATATTTTTTCTCTCCCATAGAGCACATCCTCCATGGATGGCACTTTGGACAACTCTTGGTTTTTATACAGGCTAGAGGCCTGAGAAGTGGCTCTCAGAAAAAGTTGATTAAAAGTAATCTTCAGTATTACTTTGTCTTTGACTCTCTGAACCTGGAATTTCCTTATTTAAAATAAATGCAGCACTGCAGAAACACTAAAACACGGAAGTCAGAGGATATTAAGTGATTTAAAGGTAAAGAAATAATTTTATTACTTGCAGTTTTACTTTTACATCACAATTTACCGACATATTCTGCTTGTTCTGTGCTACTACAGAGCTGCCAATCAGGGTTAAAATGCAGACCTTTTCAAAGAAGATTAAAATATTACTGTGATAATGCACAACATACTTGCATAAGTTTTAATCACAGAAAAACCTGAAATGGAAGAGAAGAGGATATACTAACTTTAGACATGCTTTTTGCTAGCAGTAAGAAAAAGCACTACTCAGAGAACGAGGTGTCAAAATAGACATCAAGAACACTGGCATATGACAAAGCAATCAATCAAATCAACCACCTAGTCCACCTGGTTTACTTTTTAAGTGCTGAAAGAGCTCAAACATGAAGTAGCTGAGCACCTTAAAGCAGCATGTACTTTTAAAAGACAGGGTACATCCAAAACAACCATGAGTAGGAAACACATTTGTAAGTGTTTGGAATCCAAGGCTCAAGATCAATGGGCTGTATGTATACCCATGTCAAGGCTGCCAGCAGAAAGCTTGATTAAGTACAAACCTGTGGAAGACTACAGCATGCAGTTTAACTACCAAAAGATTTTTGGAGAAAAGCCAAATAAAATAAAATAAAAAAAAAAATTATGAATGTGGGTCAAGAAAGTAGTGGATAAAGAAGGCAATGTAACATTTTCATGTTTTTCAACTAGTTATAGTTTCATATAAAGCTATACTGAGAACAAACCAACATTTTATCTTTACTGGTCTTCATCCCAGAGCTAAAGTTTGATGACCTGTGTTGGTTTGCTTTCAGCATAATTTTATATGAAACTACATAAATAGAATGCAATTCTTCATCACTCATTAATTATGCAAGTATGAAAGATGTACCTGTAACCCGAATATACACGGCAATTCTAGAGGGACTTTGTTCCTAATGTAGACTGTGGCAAAGCTCATGAATAGGCATCAAATATATTTCAAGGTATATTTTTAATTTCTAAAAACTGCATAAGTGGTAATTATTTGTAGAGTCACAAGTAAGCCAAAAATAAGACAGGTTCTCAGAAGGTGAATAAGAGGAACAGCTAGGACCAAAATCTAAAGAAGACTAATTAACCTTAAGATAGTATTGGAAAGAACTGTGAAGAACACAGGAAATTAGCAATAGCACTGTATATGAGGTTAAGCCAAATGAAGTAATGCTTAACATATGACAATGAAATTAATATTCTGAATTATTGTAGCTCAAAAAACCCCAAGGGTTTTCTGATGACAACTCAAGCTTTTGGCTCAGTTCAAAGTGGCAAATAAGATTCTAGGATAAGCAACAGCATGCATGATACAGAAAATAATACAGTTACAAGTGAGTTTTCCTTTGGACTACTGCCTCTTTCAAGAAAAGTTATGGCTCTGCATGCTTCCAGGAACTCGGAGGAATACTCCAGAAATGGGATGAATGAAAGCAGCTGTTACCTGTAAGATCAGGCTAAGCTACTGTGAATTAAAGAAAAAATAAATAAATCTTAAATCACCTTTTCTCCATCCACACAAAGTATCTTGCTCTATTAAGCACAGCACTTATCTTTGTCTCTCTGATAACACTGGGTCACCATTGAGAACCAGGATATTGGCATGACATGCAAAGCTATATAGAGCTTAATCTGTTTAAAGGCATCTCTCTGGACATTGCCTCTTGGCCTAAATCCCAGTAAAAACAATGGAAGGTGGCAGCTGTTATAGAAACAGGTAGTTCCTTTTGTGGAATTCTCTGCAGAAGAATATCTTACCTTTCTTTCTCCCTCTCTCTCTTTCTCTCTCATTCAGTATCAAATAAAGGCAACAAGAAAATCTACCATTTCTCTATATGATTGAATCTTTGCTTCAAGTGTAAAGCTTACTTTAAACCTACTTAGTTTAATTTTAAAAGTGGAGAAACACCACACATGCCTAAGCCTTCACTCCACAAGCCATTTGCCTTGTTGGTTCATGAGTACACAAGAGACACCTCTTTCTTGTGCAAATTTTTCACTACTGTCCTCTGTGACCTTTAGAAGCACAGTCAACAAGGATTAAAAATTGCTTTGTTAATGAAAATGATTAAATGTTTTATCCAGGCTGACAATGGATTCAAATGTTGTTACAGATTGTTGTGCAGGAAACTAAGGGAACTGTAAGCCTCTAGAGGAGTCTTATTATCCCTTAAGTGTTGAACTGCTTCTTAATACACAATCTCCAAGCCCTTGTACACTCTACTGTGAAAGGATGTGACTTTTATAATTAAACAGAGAGCTGAACAGCTATGTCAAGGACCAATATGTCACTGCCCACAGATAGTTCTATTAAAAGTAGGCACTGAAAACAGGCATTCAGGAGTGATACTTTGCTAATTCACTGTGCAATCGGTTCTGCTGAATATTTGGCAGGAAGGCTTGAGGCTACAGAAAGACCAAAAAAGATTAACTCCTAGTGAAGGATAATTAAAAGTATTGGAAAGTGGGGTTAAAATGTTTCACTGATAACCTAAATGTTTGCCCAGCCTTGCAGATTACTGCAAAGGTTGAAAGTATAAGATTATATTAATGCTAAATCATGTTTGATCACCTGTATGGAATAAGCTTATTCACTAGCAAAACATGCAAAATTATATAATCAAGTATGCATGGAGCAGAAAAGTTAGATATAAGATAGATAGCTGCGTCTTGTATTCTCTACAGTGAATGATGTGATGAACTTTTCATACTGAAGTATATTTTGGTCAAGAAAAAAAAAATCAGCATTCTTATATTATGAAACAGACCAAAAAGAACAAATGCTCATCCAGAACACCAATTAAACTTCCATTCTGAAAAATGCTGTACGTAGTATTCAAGATGGCACTGACATAAAAAGGTGAGTTTTACTTTTCAACTCTATCCCATTAGCTTCTTCAGTAGACAAGTAGTATTTGACAGATGTTTTGTTGTAACTTCTAATATCACTTCTCTGATCTATTAGTTTATCCCCTTTATACTTTGGTAAAATTTCAGTCAGACTTCACAACAGTTCGACCCTCAGGATCATCAAAATATTCAACTGGTAGGACTTAGAGACAAGCTTACTGTTCAGTGGTTTCTGGGCATCTGTATTTCCTTCTCCCTCAGATCCTGAGGGCTGGTCTTCTACCTTAACAGTCGTCTTTTTTGATCTCGTCCTGTCATCTTCATCTTCACTATCTGCTGTGTAAAGACTTCGATCTGTAAATGGGCGTCTCTCATCTCTGTCTCACAAGAAAAAAAAAATCATGTTATTCTTACAAACCTGAAGAAATTGTTTTCCTTTCATTATTTACAACATGCTTTTGAAATACATGCTCATTTCCTTATTTTGAATTGTACATACTCCCATTTTACTCCCTGTACAATTGGCATTTCCATAAAGATGCGAAGCTTTACAACAGAATACTGTTAATGAGAATCACTTTAATAGATGCATACAAACCAACAGTTTCTACTTTGAAACACTCCCTCCAGTACAAACCCAGCAGAGCAACTGAATGAAATGCTGTAACAAAGGAACATGCAAAGAATCTCCTCCTCCTCACACCGTGTCTCCACTAGGGGACAGCAGACACAACAGACAGCACATTCCCTCTGTATTCCTAGCACAAATCTTACTGGTAGAAGAGAACTTAGTGCTCCACAAACAGAAATGTTATTAACAATTAGCATGCTCCAGACCATAATAATTAGGAAGAAGTGATCCACAGTCAACCCTTCGTACCTAATTATTCTTCCATTTGACAGCAGAAGGCGAAGATCATTGTCTTTTGTTCGCCATTCAGGTACTGTAGATGATGGCTGAAGAGGCTTGTTAAATCTCCCATTCAGTTTTGAGCTTGTGGTATCCTAAAGAAGTAAAGACAACGTTGCTTATTATTTTTCCTGCACTCTACAAAAGCTCCAACTGCCATAAGCAGAACTTTGTTAGTTCAGAACTGTTACATTTGACATACACTCTGAAGCAACCAACAATACACTTAAATGCCAAACCAGAAACATGCAAAATATTTATTTTAAAGTCTATACTGATATTGAACAATATATTTCTACATTAATGACACTGACTAATGTTCCTAAACATTTGTTTTTAGCAGTGAACTGCACAGGTTAACTATTTATGATCAATTTTAGGTTCAGCTTCCTGTCTTTGGGGGCTAAATGAATGTCTCATGTTCATGCCTTATGAAGATCAACATAAGGACCCAAACCAGTATTTCTCCACTATAACAGCCCATCCTGTCGCAACTAAATTTGTCAGTATTTCTTATTCTCAGGAAGCTCCTAATTTTCTCACTCTTTCTCCCATTTCTGTTGCTGTTTTTCAAATTAAGGTCATCAAACCTGAAAAAAAGAAATTTTCCAAGAGACTACATTTCACTCATTCACTCCACGATACCTTTGTAATATGACTACAAAGTCCACAGCCCCACAATGGAGACCAAAGGCAGCCTCAGGCTTATTGGTAGGGAAGCACAGCCATACAGGAAGTAGGAACATAACTGAAAAACAAGGCTAATCAAATTACAGTAACTGAACTGTAAGCAGCAGCTATCTAAAAACACATAGAGAAGCAGGCTGGCTCAGAGCCTCAAGGATTTGCAAGCTCATTTTCTTCACATAACTGATTCAAAGTAGCACTTGATAGCTACAGCAGTCCTAATTCCCAGAGAAGCTGTGGCTGTCCCATCCCCGGCAGTGTTCAAGGCCAGGTTGGACGGGGTTTGGAGCAACCTGGTCTAGCGGAAGGTGTCCCTGCCCATGGCAGGGGGTTGAAACCAGATGATTTTTAAGAGCCCTTCCAGCCTAAACTATTCTATGATTTAAAAACTATACTTGAAGTAGATATTAGATTCAGGGCACCTTCTGAACAAAAATGTTGAAGGAACCTCAAAACAAAAACAAAACAAAAAAAAAAGCCACCCCCCCCCAAAAAAAAACCAAAAAACAAACAAAACAAAACAAAAAAAGAAAAAAAAAGACAAAAAAAAAACCTACCAACACGAACCAAGAAAACCACACATATCCAGGAAAAGAGAAATCCCTATCAGTAAAACCCAAAAGAAACTGAAAACAGATCTATCCATCTCTGATTTGTATTCTTATGCATGTTAAAAGCTTTTCCCTTTCAACAGAGATTAGAAATGTACTCCAGTTTTGTCCTTCTTGCACATACATTAATACTTGCCTCCTCCCACGGTGACATCTCCAGCCTTTTCAGCACCTCCCTAGTGTGGAGCTCCAGGATGTCCAGATTAGAAGGAGTTTTGGTAGCATGGTCTCGCAGTTTCCTCGCCCTTCGTCTGGAGTGGTGAGGGTAAGTTGTTTCATGCAAAGACCGTGAAGCTGGACACACACCAAGAATTCCCTGAGTTTTAACTAGTTTGCTGTTTTCCTCCTTTAATTAAAAACACATATTTCAGAAAAGTCTTGTAAGTGATGCTTCTTAATTCATCTAATTAAATGTAAATTATATAAATAAAATTGTTTGACCTTTTAAAGAAGTACTAGATATTTCCTAAGGATTTGATGTGGAAAGCTTCATATAATCTCCCACAATAGTAGTGCTTAACACCAAAAGTTACCACCAAAACGCCAGGTTTTCTGAAGGCAGCATAGGGTAGACATGTACTGTATCTAACAGACCACGTTTCTCTTTAGTTCTCTGAACTATTCTTTCCACATGCAAATGTGAGAATATTTCAAGAATCAATATTCATTAAGGAATAAGAGAGCAAAACACCGGTATAGGAGAGAAATGTACTATGGAATTCCCTGATTCAAATGATTTTCTTGCTGCAGGCTTATGTAGGGTTGCTTCTGTTCTTACCTCTACAGAACGAATCACTTTTGAGAGCTCTTTTATGAGATGCCCAGGCCTAATGTTGTCTGGAATTTCAAAGGCATGTTCTGTTACAAGCTGCATGCAAAGGGGGAAGAAAAGATACTTAATTCGTTTTTCAGATAAAAGCAGAAGTAAAATAAATAAACAAATCTACAGAGGAAAAAAGGAAAAAGCCAGATTAATTTCTGTAATAATGACTACAAACTGCCAGGCCAGACACACACACACATACTGAAGCTTCCAGTCCAAGATTTAGAAAGCAGCAAACATTTAATATTTTGCAAGTACAGTTTAGGTGTGCCTCCAAACACTTTCAGTTAGACTTAAACAGACAAAACAGCACTCACACAGAGTAACTGGCATGAATTCTGCTACCCCTTTAATCAACTATTTTAAATAGAAAAACATCACACGAACACTTTCAGCTACTCATGTTTCAAAAACAAGATTCAGCAGCAGAGTTATTGCTTGAAATAATTTGATACTGTATGTGCATTTCATTGAACCTGGCTTCCTCTCAGTCATTAAACAGAATGCTCTCTCCCCCATCCCCAAAAAAGCCAGCATGGATATGTAACCATGGTATAATGATTCATTTCGTTGCCATTAATATTACAGGAAAGATTAAATCAGCTGCTATTATTTACCACTGTTCATTCTTTGAATGTATCACCTCTACGCATTCACACTTGGGAACACACCACCTCTGTGACTAAACTGTGTAGTTTTTCCAGCAAGCTACTGGTTATTTTAGGACCATTCAGTACTTTCTACTTGAGAACTTCACTCTCCCAAAAGCCTTCCTGTCCATGAAGGCTTCAAGAGGAAGTGACTGATGCAATCCTCCAAAACACCAACTTCAAAGTTTCCCTGGTTTAAAAATACTGAAGCCTTCCTAATGCAAACTGAGTTTTCATCAGAAGCACAGTATTTTGCCAGTATGATTTATAGTAACTCACTGAGCAAACAAAGTTTTACCGGCAAGCCCACTTGTTTGCTACTAAAAAAGGTGTCTATTTCCACCAAACCTTTCTCAAGTTGTGGCAGAGTCATCATTAATAAATAAATAAATCCATCCAAGCAACTTAAATATGTGAACAAATTCAAACTGATATATAACCTAACAGTCTAAGAGAAAGGATGGATGGCCAGGAAATACAGACTCCATGTCTGAAAAATTATCATTGTTATTAAATAACTTGGTTCGAAGTTGTCTCTGCATATTGATTCTTGGAAAAGAAACAAGCAGGCTTTGGGACTGAAGAATTCTCTTGTACTAGGGAGAACAGTAGCAACAAATGGCCTAAGTATGTCAGATATAAATTGCAAGTGAAGAAAACAATGGAAAAAATTCTACAATTAGTTCAAGAGTTTTAAGAAATTGTTTTGTGAATGTTTGAACTATACAAAGGTAAAAGAAACTTGTCTTAAATCAAGAGATAAAGATTTTTAAAAGTCCTGGTAGGCAAATGAAGCCACCCATATTTGGAGACTAGCATTACAATGAAGTATATCAATACTTCAACACACACAAAAATAAAGATAAAATAAAAATAATAAAACCCACATCCCTCCCTCCTTACAAGAAAAAAAAAATCTTTCACAACAGCTATTAATATCTTTCAAAAACACAGAAGAGTTGCCAAAAATAATCTTACTCGTACATGAATCAAACATCTGAAAAATTGCATCTGAGGCCTGTTGCTTACATAAGCTGGAGGGAAGCCAGAGCTAAAATCCAAGAGCTCAGATGGGTGGATAGGTCATCATCCTTACTGTGTACACCAACTAAGATGCAGACCAATGACCTCCACCAGAGTAGTCAGAGGATACACATACTGGTAAAAGCCTTGTACAAACTGAATTCAAATGAATGCATGAAAACTAGAAGAATTTTAGCAGCACTCAACCTCTATTCTCAGCATCTTGTAATTTTTTGGCAGTTTTTAAATGAAGATACCACTGCCCTGCTGAAAATGACTTTGAAACTCTCCATCAAAAAGACTGTAACAATTCACCAAAATAATTCACATCTTGAAAAGACGTACCCCATGACACAAATGTGAAACCCCATGAGTGGCTTCTCATTTGAGGAGTATTCACTTGTCATTTCTTTATCAGAATCTGAAATCCGGAGCATGAGCAGATCATACAGAAATGTACAAAGCTCCTGTCTGCAGCTGCATACAACTACAATCCTACCAGGCACATGGCCTGCTGCAAAGAAAACACTAGCTCACTTATGAAGCACCAGCTAGAAAACATGAATGCAATGTACAAACCATGATAGCTGGTGGACAGCAGACAACACTGAGATGCAGTGCAGCTTCCTCACTTTTTTCCCCCCCACAGATAAGTAGGAAACACATCAAATTCTAGATGTATTACTCAAACTACTCAATGAGCTACTAGACAGTACACAAAAGCTACAATATTATGCTAACAGCACTCTAGAAGAGAGGAATTGCAATCCAATTACTAATGAAAATAAGGACTTATAAAGGCTATGTTTGACCCGAGTTATGAGCAGCCTGACTACTCAGCCTGCTTATTATCCATGCCATGGATGCAGAGACAGCTTGGATTCACACACAGTTTAACAGCTTAGGCACAACATCCTCTAAATAATGCTACACTGCTTACTAGCTAGCTTTGGTCCAGAATGGCATAGAGAGAGACACTGGAGAACCAACTCAGAGGTGTTACAGAGGGCCAGCAAAGGTTCACCTGGAATCATGAATGCTACACAGGCTGAATCCCTAGTGGATTCCACAGAGTAGCCACCTCTGCGCTTGCACCTCATGTTCAATTCCACGAAGTTCATTATGTTGAATGCAGCATTGTGCAAATATCACACCTGTTGTATATCTTCTCTTACAAGGAGAACTTGTGGGCAGAAAGACCAAAAACAGATCTTCAAGAGCAAGTTCAGTTCAGCACAGACAGCAACAAACTAGAATTCATAAGCTCAGTCAGAACCAAACTGCCTGTCAATGAACAGCACTTCCCAGAAGCACTGGTTCTAAGAGGGCTTATTAGCTCAGGCACATGAAAAACACATGGGGTTAGGCCAGATCTAGTGCTGTGCCAAAACAAATAAGCTTTTCTGGAGAGCAGAGCACCAGCAAAGCCACCATAGACAACACACTAATGATTTTATTAGAGCCAGCCAATGTTCACCAGCAACAGTATTCAACTGAAATTAATAGCCTCATCTGAATCTGAACTGACTCTTCAGCGATAGAGGTGCACCTGAAGTGTGCTCTCCAAAGCATTGACATGAATGGAAAATGCTAAATATCAGGGCATTCATTGCCTCAGGCTAGGATGAATCATCTATATAAACAGATTTGTTAGAGAAAAAGCCACACTGTATCAGCTTATCATCTGGCATTCTTATCCCATCCTGAGGTGAAGCAAGATTCTACTTCTATCAGCTACAACACAAAAGCTTATTAATTGGCCTAAAAAAAGACTTTGTTAGCATTACAGAATATAAAGTTATCACGATGATTCTTCCCCAGATCAGCAGTACATGCTCTCCATAGAGTCCTTCATTACTCACTAACAGATAAAAACAATCCACAACTTTAAAAGGGCACAAACGTTCGCTTACTTGTAAATCAAAAGAGACCTCACTAAATTAGCAAACAAAAAAAATCACTTCTACTTACTTCTTTTTTCATCCATAATTTTAAAGCAGTAAGTAAAGCCTTCACTCCTTGCACTAAATAGCTTGGAGGCTGGAAACCATCTTCCCTCAGTTCTAAAAAGGATACAGATACCAATTTAGAAACACACTAACAGTGAAAACAATAGAATGATACCTACCCTTCAGCCAATGAAGTTGACGTTATACAACAGCACAAAAAAAGGAAAAATTATGCAAGCAAACAAAGCATCATATCCTGTATTTGTGTGCATATGGTAACAACAGCAACAAAAGACACCCAATCCTAAAGTGATTCTACATAAAATCTTCTCTTTTTTGTCTTATTTTTTCATGAATTAGGGATAGTTTACAACATACTAAAGGTCAAATAGAACAAACCAGATCTGAAATACAGAACAAGAGAGAACATATTTGAAGACATAAATCACTTCTATTTCATTCAGAAATATTTTAGTCAAAGGGGACCAGAAGGATGTAGGATGTATCTCCAAATTAGAATTCCTATTGCTTATTCCCATACGTAGAGCAAATGGTTCACACTAACACACTTCCACTCCCCATTTTTTGTCACCCTTCCAATTATCACAGTTCTCCCTCACACAGTTTACATCATTTTTCCTTCCAAAATCAAAGAGGGAGGGCTGTGGTGAGCTGGAAACCACCCTGCTACAGAAACTGCTCTTCTTAAGAAAGCTGGTGCTCCCAAGTGGTTACAATTCCTTTTCAATTTGCTCTTTTCCTTCAGGGGGGAAAAAGAAGGGAAAAGACCAATTCTCCATAAACAGTCAAAAGGAGATTGCAACCTCTTTCCATGTTCCTGACAAATATTTCCACTTGTCAACAGCAAGTAGACCAACACTAGAACTACTGGGCTCATTTTATTCCCTTAAAAGAATACACTATTAAAACGCTATTCTGATGGATACTGTATTGGTCTGCTGGCAGAAAAAAAGAAGTTCTGTTACTAAATGGCTGTTCTTCCCTCAGATGAGCCTCCTACTTGAGGAAGAGCATCAGGCAATTTGAGTTGCAGAAGTCTTCCTGCCCACTAGCTTACTCAGTTGATAAAGGTTTGAGAATACAATGCAGCACCACAGGCTGGATTTTTTAGCTGCAATAGAAAAGACTGCATAAAAGTAAAGAAAATTAATGAGCATCGGATGAAGAAGTTACCTATTCTGAAGCTCCAAGAACCATGAAGAAAAATAGTTTAGGTAAATGCCACCACACTTAAAATATCATAAAACACTTCTTGCCAATGAAACACAAAATCACAATGTTTATGACCCTGTTATTTTATAGAAGGAATCAGATACATTGTGCTGATTTTGTATACTGACCTGAATTTCACATCATGTACTGCTAACAACCACGCACTCAACATTTTACAAGTCGGTCATCACCACTACCTTTCACAACCAAACGGGTATCATCCCCTTTTTTATAAAGCTGGGGAATCTGACCAGTAAACACCTAATTCATATGCATCTTGATGCCAAACCCAACATAATCTTCACTCTAGCCATGGAAACCTCTGTTTTGATTCTTTATGGCAGTTTTATAGATTACAGCATTGTTCTGCAACAGAATACGTTCTAAGCCATAGATTGAAAATAACAGAATAAGCTTCATCCCCAAGACACAAGCTACAAAAGGCTCCCAGTCTACATATTCAAGGAGTCATGGGATAGAAAGAGGAGGTGGAGCAAGTAGGGACAGACACAGGACATGACTCATAGTTAGCTAGATGATACAGAAACATCTATCCCACAG